TCCAGGAATCGAACATATCTGATTAATGATTATTTGTATTATAGTAATGTATACAAAATATGTATAAATGTATAGGTAATAGAATTTATTGTAGGAGAATTAAATTATATTATACACTATACAGGTATAGTTAAAATTATTTTTGTATCGTTGTCATTCGTTATAAGAAATATTAAGTAATGATGATGTAACCGACACATCAAAAATGATAAGCAAGTTCATATTATACGATATTTTATTATAATTATGATTACTGTTATTTATTTTAAATTAAAATAATTTACAAATTTTGGTGATTTTGAAGAATTTAGTCAAAAGTCTTAAACACTCACAAAAATTTAATGTGGATTTACACTCAACGTTTTAAATTTCCACTATGAACAACTTATGAGAAAATTTGTACTAAATTTTCAAGTTTTTTGACCAAGCAAAAAAATTTTTTGGACAATTATTTAAAAAATAACTGATTTAATTTATTTTTGTTTTTCCTGGCGTTTTTGAAAACTATTGGAAATTTTTACTAACCCAAATTTTAATGACAGACAAAATAAATAATATAATAATATTAAGGAAAACACACACACATGTCACATTGTAAGATCAAAATAATTATCACTTCGCTCAAGCTCAGCATTCTAATATATATTTAAACAACAATAAAATTGGAATATTTACATAACATTTGTGTTTGATAAAATTAAGATTTTTTTCAAATTATATAGATACTTTTTGAGTGGTAAATGAAATGATTGGGTAATTATAAGAAATTTATATTACATACCTTTGGTATACTTTAATAAAAAATAGTAAAATGGTAAAATAATCTACTATTTAAAATGATATTTATGACCCGCATAATTTATTCATTGTTTACGATGTTTGGTGACGACGATGGATGGTTTCTAGGAAATACTGACCGAAACGATTCCAGATTAGACTCACGCACACTTATGTTCGTTTACATTGCACACACTTACAAATCACTTTAATATCTTCATGTTATATTACCTATATTAATTTCCTTAAAACACGACCTGCTGCAGCCACCTTAATAATAAATAAGTATATAAAAGTGTATGAGATATCGGGTAAACTAGTTATATTTTTATTTTTTCAATAATTGTTGCCCCTATAACTGTCCTGTCCATTATCCATAAATAATATATTTTAATATTCTATGAATTTTCAATTATTATACTATTATTAAACATTATTATTTATTAGTTATTTCTTATGTACAGCATACATTCTACACCTATTAATTATTTGTATCACTATTATAGAAATCAGAAATAGTGCAAGACAGCAAAACTCTTAGACAGTACAATTATTTAGAAAATGTGTGATACATTAAAATTAACAAATTTTATAAAAAGAAAAGTTTACAAAACAAGATATATTTTAAATTGATGGGGTTTATAATAGGAAACTACTTAGTTTAACGTAACATTAAAATTAATTAACATTTAACTCAAAAGTTACTGCATATCATGGAAAAAATATAAGAGTTAGAAACAATTAAAATAAAAAAAAAATGTATTTAAAAGTAATTTAACTTTAACTGTTTAATTCATTAATGCCTAACCTTGATGTCTTTATATCAATTTTAATGAATTTTTTTTTCTTAAAAGATTAAATGAGAGGTGTAACTACTCTTCTAAATAAAATTATGGATATCAACAAATACTTAACTCAAAAACCATAGTTACAATTTAACCTGCCTTGACCCATTCCCTTTTAAAATATAAAAATGTAATTATATTTTCTAAATCAAATTTAAAATTAATATTAGCTTTTTAATTATCTTCTGGCTTATTTATTTTATAAGCAAATACAATTTTTTTTGTAAAAATTATTGTTTACAATTATTAAAAGAATAATTATAATAATTAATAATATAATATACACATTATACTTATTGTTATTTAAATTACGTTAAAATTAATTTAAAACAATTTTTAAATTAATATATTTGTATTTAGTTTTTTTACTAACAATTAGATTTTAATTTATAATACCATTATATAGTATATATTAAGGTTAGGATAAATTTTATCCGAAAACATCACGTTATATAAATATCTATGTATATTTATTTGCGTTGTGATTTAATCCTAATGAACCGATTGCCAAATAAATTATCTTGTTATTCGAAATCTATGAGTTATTATATGTTACTTTACAAACTGGTGCATTCCGCTGAAATTCCCCGCTATTATGTGTTCGTACATCACTTCATATTGCAATGTTTTTGCTCGATTAGCATACGGTATAGTTGATACAGGTATAGGACTTCAGATAGAGAACGTATTATAATAATATATTTTTAAAAGATAGAATAGTGCAATTTATAGTCTGCAGGTATTGCTTACTTCTACAATTTTGCGTAAAACCCAAATCAGTAATAATATTAAGTAATTATCTACCCTGAATTTTGTCATTGTATCACATCACATCATAATATAAAGTACATATTAAAAAATATCTACTTTGTAATATATTTCAAACTTATTAAGAAACAAATAATAGCCTGCATAGGATGTAATATTTTGTAATATTTTGAATCGTTATGACAAGTAAGCAATAAAATCAATACGATAGCATGACAGATAATTTATAAATTATTTATGTATATCAAACTACATTAATTTTTTATTAGAAACACTATTATAATTATTTTCATCATGAAATTTATAAATTAATATTTAGCATAATTAGCTATTTAGCTTCATCAAACGAGTGAAATTAGGTCAAATAAAACACAATTGTATAACCTTTTTAGTGCTTATCCAATTAAGATTTTATATATATATTATAAAGAAAAGTTTAGGTAGATATTTCCAGTAACCTTTAGTTAATTTATCAACACGTTTACAGTAGGCAGTAGCTAATGAAACATTATTGTTATGTCTAATTTATGTCGGCCAATCAGTAATGACAATATTTTAAAAAGAAAAAACTATTTTTTTATTTTTGTTTATCTTTTACTAACATTTAGATGATGAAAATATAATATATTGCAGGCATATTTATGAAATAATAAATTAATAGATAAATACACAATAATATTATTCTTATTTCTTAATAATTCTACACATAATATTCTACGCGTCAAATTTTCTAAACTAAAACAAACCTCGAGAAGAGCAAAGATCCGCTGCGCATTAATTTCTTGTTAAGAAAAAAACACTAGAATTTCTTGTATGCAAACCCCGATAAAGGACAACCGTATAATATCTATCATTTCATTTAAATCAAATCCATTCGTTTAAATCGTATTTTATACAAAATATAATATTGTAATGAATCGACCAGAAAGACTGTGATACAAGTATACGTAGGTGCAGTTGTGTCGTTTCATGAAATTTCTGCAATGTACAATTAATAATATAACCAATTATTATTCATCATATCCCATTATAAATATATATAAGCAGGAATACTAGGGACAGATCGCATTGCTCACAAGTCATTTCATTAAGTGTTATTTCATGGCAAATGATGAGATGGAGTATGATGGGTGTTGTATATATTAAGGGGTGCAAAAAATAAATAATACAGTGTAGTTCATTTTAATTAGTAATTGAATTATTTTACTCGTCACTCAAATAAAATTCTAATGAAATAAAATTACTTTACTTTTCAATCAGAAAAGTAAAGTTAATAAATTAACTACGTTAATTATACATCGAACAAAATAAAATTGTAAACAATCGTTATTCGATGAAAGTTATTGGAATTAGTATGTTAATAAAATTTAAAAAAAGAAAAAAAATAAACATCAATAAAATGAGATATAAATCTGAAATGCCCTAGATGATAATATTTTATCTTCAAAGTTTATAATGAATCAATAAATGCACTCTAATTTTAAAAGTAACAGATTAAAATAGATAATTGCAAACTCAAAATTTGGAGTTGTACGTTCATAAGACGAAAGCAACACATCATGTGGTGCTCCCATAAGAAGATGTTACACCCGAATTTATTGTCTCTGTCTTATAAATGTAAACACATCAAATTTACTTTCAGTACAAAACTGATTTTATGTTTTTCACTTTAATATAGAGCAAATTGACTTATTATCAAATTTAAAGATAAGAATATTATTTGTAATATTTGTAATCTTTCGTCGGTTTTATACGATATTTTAAGTTTTAAGTGAATAGTGAATATGTATTCTATTACTAAATTATAAAAATACTCATAACTTATTTAAAAATTAAAATAACGTAAAAAAACGAGGAAAAATAACTAATAATATTCTTTTCTTTGAGATTGACAATAAGTCAATTTGCTCAAATAATTAAGTTAACAACATAAAATTGGTTCTACTGAGGGAAATTTTTTTATATTGTATGTTTGTTAAACGGATACAATACCACGCGGGTGTAACATTTTCTTAATACAATATTTATTACATATAAAACCATAATAATTTCACATGACACATTAAAATAATTCTGTGTAAATGAAGAAAACCCAAATAAACTTTTACCTAATTTACAGCGCAAATACGTATTTATTCCAGATCATTGAAATCTAAACTATGATGTGTTAAAATTAAATATATTATTTATTAATAATGTAATCCCGTATCACATTATACTAGTATGGTCAAATAAAGCCATCCAGACGGCTCGAGTGGTATAATATACCTAAAAGTTATTCGTAACCGATGGTCGTTGCATATCTATACGTTTGAATGTCCATATTTAAAATTCTGAAATCGATTGATGAAATCAATGGGAATACTTATATGTAGACCCAAGTTTACAGCTACATCGTCCGTCGTGTCGCGTCGCGTCCAAAAGTCGAGTGAGGTCTGATACTCGTGAAATAATTTTCCGGGAGATGGTGGGATATACATACCTAGTGAATAGTTTGGTACACGCGGTATACCACGATTGAAACGATCGATCGGATTACAGCAAAAGGCACACGACGGTAACTGTTGTAGTCTGGCTTAAGTGTACGCATGCGTAAATGTGTATACGTACTTTGGGCTGTTCGGCGGAGACGTGGCGGTAACACTTAGCGAAACAACGTGCATCGCGCACGGGATCGCCAACGAGTGCAGTTATCGCGTCAGCGGTGGCTGCATCGGTGGTGGCGGTTGCATCGGTGGCGACGGCAGCGGCAAAGACCGCGGTCGACTGCAACACGATGTACCACCGAAACGAGGCGGAAGACGGTCGTGCGCGGCACTTCATGATGACGATTCGTCAAAGTCCAGTCGCCGGTTCGATGCGTTTCAGTCGCTGTCCAAACTGGTGTACGCGTGCATCGGCGGTATGCAATACACGGCGGCTGCAGCCTATGACCATTCGCGACGGCTACGGATGCGTTAGCGTGTGTCGTCGGCAGGTATTCCAGACAACAACACCACCACTACTACCACTACCGTCTACCACCGCCGCCACCGCCAACGCCGCCAACGCCGCTGCCGCCGCCGCCGCCGGTGCCGAAGACGGCCGACCGAACACCCACCCACCCACCAATCCGCATCTCGTTATTATATTATTTGCGTGCGTGTGCTAGTGCACTTGCTGCTGCTGCGTACTGCTGCAAGCGCGGGTGGCGGTGTCGGCTGCAGAGATTACGGCAACAATGGTATACAGGGTGAATCTTCGGACACGCTCAACCCCGTTTTTCCATTTTTTAACGGCGAATTTTTTTTTCTACGTGAAATTTTCAAATATTCTTGTTGTACACCATATTTTCAAAACGAAAACCCTCCTTATAGCTGCAAATTATTTAATGAATAATATTTTAAACATTTTGATATGATAGTGAACCAAAAGGTTATACTTGTACGTGTTATACATGAATCATTTTTACAAAAAATATCAATATTAGTAGATTAATATTGACTACTAACATTTATGAATTACCATAGCTCCTATACATTTTTAACACATTGTCATAGACCTATTATCCTCAGTATACGAGTACTCAAAAACTTCTAGTTTGCATTTTTAATTAAATAAGTAGATAAATAGTAGGTACATCGAAAGTTTCAAAAAAAAAAATAAAATGTTCCACTAAATAATTTACTATAAAAAAGGGGATACCTACTCATTTTAAAATTGATTATGACTACTAGACACACTTTAATTAGTACAGATAATCTCAAGAATTTTAAATTATAGTCTTTAAATGTGTTTAAAAATTCATAAATTCAGAATTTAAATAAATCCATTATTAAATGAAAATGGGGTTGAACTTACTTGGTGAATCATCCTGTATATTATGATTATTCTTATAGTTTACGGTACCGATGCATGGTATTTTAGTCTCGTGCCTGTTATTTATGTGAACAAGCATTTTATTTTTTTTAATATATCTTTTAATAATAATATATTATTGTATATTCCGTGTATTATAGTATTAAAAATTAAATTAATGTATTGTATACGTAATGCTATTATTACCTATGTATAACACACAACCACCGCCGCCGCCGCCGGTCGGCCACATATTATTACTATCAAAATTTGATATGCACGCCGCTACTCCACAAAACATTTCTTTGGTGTAAACCGCGTCGTTTGGTTTGATTTTTTTTTTAAGTATTGGTTACCTATTTTAATAATTAATAATTTAACGTCGCAGGACATCGTCCGTAATACGATGGGAAACACGCAACCGCGGAGACACGACAAATGCGCAATAATAATGTGTTCGTGTTTACTGTAATAATAACCACCGTATAATACGTAACGGCCGTGTTTTGTATTCAGTGCACATTAGTTATTATAATATATTTAAGTCCTATACATTATTATTTTATCTATATAGTATAGGTACAAAGAGGTATAAACACGTATTTTATCTCAGACCAAATCTCGTGTGTATTTTCAATGTATATATAGATTTGATTGCTGATGGCAAAAAAAAAAAAATTGAAAAATAAATAGAGTTGTGTCGAAAATTATGAACACGATGCGCCCGAAGAAAAACTCAACGGTGTATGCATAACATATTATAAATATAGGAGACACGCATCTATAATAAATAAGTAAATTATTTTTGTAGATCCACGCAAACCTAATATCGAAATACGTAATGCGTACAGTCATATAGAACAACAGAGCAATAGTATAGACATATTATATTTATTATAATATACAACCAGCTGCAATAATTATGAATCGGACAAAAAGTTGGTATAGGTTTACTAAAATGTAAAAAATTGAACAAATCTAACTATGTATTTATGCGATCGTCGAAATTCAATAAAATAATATTTAAATTACCTATATAAACGTATAATAATATGATACATACTGATACACTGCCTACTACAGCAGCGGTGCCTTAAGGTATTTTATATTATATTATACTATTGAACGCCGCCACTCCCTCGCAAACTATAGCAAAACAAATTCGGAATTTTTACAAAAGTATCCGCAATACATCCACAAAAAACGATACGACATTGTGCCTCGAGCAGGATATATGAGCAGTTACTTCATGTTGGTATAATATATGGTTCCTTTGTTTGCAATACCCTTAAGTAACATCCTATGTATTTCTGTCTTTGAATGAAATGGATAAGAATCTAGCAGAATGAGATACATTTACCTCGTTTTTTTTACCTATATCCATAACATTTATTAATCTGTACTTATCCATCTATTCGTACACTTACTTAATAATATTATATTTATAAATGTTACTATAATTTTATGCAGAATGACTCACCAAACATGCTCAGTCCTACTTTTAATTGAATAATGAATTTATTCATATTCTTCTTTTTAGAATTTTAAAATATGCTCTTACTTAAAAACCATATTTTCAAATTATTGAGATTTTTAAAATTCATAATGAATGTTTACAAACTTTTGTTTTTCAAATGAGAATCCCTTTTTTGACTGTAAATTGCTTAGTAGAAGATTTTTTCTTAACACCAATATATCTAATTTAAAATTCAAATTCTTTCTCTATTGAAATGTTTGTATTAATGATGAAAATCTTTAAAAATGATTTTATAAAAATATAAAATATAAATTTAACATTGGATATAGTGTTTATTATAATTCGACCATTTTTATAAATTGTAAATGTTAACAAATTAGTATAAATTATTAAAATTACCACGATTCATCAAAGTTCACATATCTTATAAATTCAATATCATAGACCTTATTTTTAGTAAAAAAGTTAAATAACCCAAAAATACAAGACGTTCATATTATTATGATTTTTCAAAAAAACATTTTCAGAAAAATTATTCGCTAGATTATTTAATGCAGAAAAAGTGGGTTTTCATTTGAAAACAGAAGTTTGTATCTCCATAGAACAATTTTTAATTAGTATAAAAAATCTTAACAACTTCAAAATAAGGTCTTGAATTAGTATAGTTGGAAATTTCAAAAATCAGATCTTGAATAACTGCATTAATGGATAAAAAATTGTGAGCATGATTAGTGAACCCTTGTACATTACCTATTATGAAATAGACTATATTTTATTTTTTTTAAAAAAACAGCACTACACAGTACAAAAAATATCTTGTATACATGTCAAACGGGACCCATGTACCTAATCAATTTAATGCAATAAAAGTAATTGTAAAATAAATGTGTTTAATAGCTATATTAAAAAATACATCATAAAATATACTTAGTTATATTAAAGCTGATGGACAGTCTTTGCTCAGAATCGTTTTTTTGGATACAATATGATTTATTATTAAGTTAAAATTTAAAAAAACCATTTAAGTGACTCTCTCGAAACTTAATGTACAATAGAGTGATACCCACTTGTCCAAATTTTTTTGAATTTATTTTATTAATAAACCACATCATTAAGTCTTATATTTTATACTTAAGTTTAGGTTTGAAATTGAATAATGTAAAAATTTTAAAAATATGTAAATTTTGATGAATTCTGTGAAACTAATTTTTTAAATGACTATGTAGGAATATTTGTAATTCTATTTATATTCATACTTTGATCAGCTTACAAATAAGGGGGAAAGTCATCTAATGTAATTTAATTTTCAACAAAGTAATCGAAAAACTTAATTATTCTATTGTCAATAAAAAATTATTTTTAATTTTTAATAAATGAATCGATTCGAGTTATTCAATTATAATAGCAATTTTAGCAATTTTTACGTATGCTATAGCAATTTAATATGGGAAAGCCTAAACACTGATGTAGCTTTCATTAATTCATCAAAGCAAAGAAAATAAAACTGAAGACGTTTACATTAAACCTTTTCATTACCTTTTTACTTAACCGAAAATCTGGCGAAGTTTACAATCACTCGTCCAACATATGACGTTTGACTCTTTTATTGAAAAATTAAATGAAAATAAAGAGCAAAAATAATAAATATAGATTTTAATAAAAGGTACCTTCTACTTAATGTGGTCCTTATAAAGAACTTGTATATAGGTAATTATTTTTAAAGTTTTTCAAGCATCTCGCGTATAGTATTCTGTTCAATAATTGCAGTTCAATATATACTTTGAGTTTGATATACCTATTGTATAATAATATAATGTACCTATTATAGATAAGTACATAATATTTTATTTGAATTACTTTGTTCAAACTTAACAAAAAAAAAAAATGTAAATATCTGCAAAACATAATAACATGTATTTTACTATTTTAGTATAATATTATGAACAAAATAAACATTTTTATATTTATAAAATATATAGGTAGATCAGGCACGTATACAGGGGATTTGGGAGTTCAACCCCCCCCCTGAAATAATTTCTTTAAAAATTAAGTCAAATTATACCTATTATTATAAAATATTTTTATTACTAGCTATTGGTTAGTTTTCTTTTATTTATGTTAGTCGGGTATGAAATACAAGTTTATAATCTAGTACTCGTATTATAGTCAAATTAAGTGATAACTGATTACTAAGAATTACGCACGTGTGAGAACTGAACATTGCGATATAAGCCTTTATATACCTAAAAAACTCACATTTTGTCAATAATCTTTTTTTATATCTCAATCGATGACCAAAAATTCCTATTAATTTTCTAATTTATGTATTATTAAATCAATACTGTACGGTACATTTTGGCTTCATTATCTGTTACAACTGTTACTGCGAACGGTCATTCTCAACTCTACGAAGACTTAAAACGTACTTACGAAACAATATAAGAGAAATTAGACTTACTGGATTGACACTACTAAACATATACCGAAATTTTGATTTAAATGTGGTAGGAATTATCGATAGATTTGCTAAGTTACCACGAAAATGGGATTTTATACTTAAATTTGTAATTATCATTTATAAATTGTTTGATTGTTTTTCTTCTATCTAGGTACTTAATAGTATAATACACTTAGGTAATTTTATGTGCATATATATAGGTTAGGTACCTATAGGTTATAT